CTCACATTAACATCATGCTAATCTCTCACATTAACCTATCCACTTCCGTGCCCTCTAATTTCTCACATTAACATCATGCTAATATCTCACATTAACATAGCCACTTCCGTGCCCTCTAATGTCTCACATTAACATGCTAACCTCTCACATTAACATAGCCACTCCCGTGCCCTCCAATCTCTCACATTAACATAGCCGCTTCCGTGCCCTCTAATTTCTCACATTAACATAGCCACTTCCGTACCCTCTAATTTCTCACATTAACATCATGCTAATCTCTCACATTAACATAGCCACTTCCGTGCCCTCTAATGTCTCACATTAACATTATGCTAATCTTTCACTTTAACATAGTCACTTCCGTGCCCTCTAATCTCTCACATTAACATCATGCTAATATCTCACATTAACATAGCCACTTCCGTGCCCTCTAATTCATCACATTAACAACATGCTAATCTCTCACATTAACATAGCCACTTCCGTGCCCTCTAATCTCTCACATTAACATCCAGCTAATCTCTCACTTTAACATAGCCACTTCCGTGCCCTCTAATGTCTCACATTAATATCATGCTAATATCTCACATTAACGTAGCCACTTCCGTGCCCTCTAATCTCTCACGTTAACGTCATGCTAATCCTTCACATTAACATAGCCACTTCCGTGCCCTCTAATTTCTCACATTAACATCATGCTAATCTCTCACATTAACATAGCCACTTCCGTGCCCTCTAATTTCTCACATCATGCTTATCTCTCACATTAACATATCCACTTCCGTGCCCTCTAATGTATCACATTAACATCATGCTAATCTCTCACATTAACATAGCCACTTCCTTGTCTAGGAGGCCGCTCTCCTATCTTACAGTTACATGCTGATTTATCGCATTAACATCACTAGCCCCGGTCACTTCTTTATGACCCTTGGGCTACACCCATTTCAAACCTTTTAAAACAGTCTGCCTCAGCAGCAGACCCACGCTTTCCCACCCGATGACGGACGCTTGTGTTGCGCCCGAAACATCGTGATTTATTATATTTCATACCTCCGTGACTTTACCGAAAGAACCAAAGAGTATGGTAAAATAAAATAAAAATTGTAGCGCACCACGCTACGCCACCACCACCAATAACTACCCCGCACGCCACCGACAGTGTGAGATGATGGCACCAACCTCAGAAGATGATGACTCGTGAAGATGCACCCATAACGCACACACACATACTGCTAACACGGCGAAGACTACACAAATAAGCAGGCTATGTACATCTCATTCACATATCTAAACAAAATCAAAGGAAAATTACGCATGCCGTCAGCCACACACGGCCTTGGCGGGAGTGCGTTAATTTCGGCAACATCTCAAACGGTTTCGAAATTCGGTGTCTCTTGAATCCAATTCTGGTGAACTCGATTGTTCACAGCCAAGGACCCTCTGTGTTAGATGTGGGTACTCTCAGTGAGAAAATAAGGCAGTACACACGTGAAGGTAGGACTTCATCCAGCGGTGGATAGACGCAGCACGTGGGGGAGGGACCTCATCCAGCGGTGGATAGAGGCAGCACGTGGGGGGAGGTCCTCATCCAGCGGTGGATAGACGCAGCACGTGGGGGGAGGGACCTCATCCAGCAATGGATAGAGGCAGCACGTGGGGGGAGGTCCTCATCCAGCGGTGGATAGACGCAGCACGTGGGTGGACCTCATCCAGCGGTGGATAGACGCAGCACGTGGGGGGAGGGACCTCATCCAGCGGTGGATAGACGCAGCAAGTGGGTGGACCTCATCCAGCGGTGGATAGACGCAGCACGTGGGGGGAGGGACCTCATCCAGCAATGGATAGACGCAGCAAGTGGGTGGACCTCATCCAGCGGTGGATAGACGCAGCACGTGGGGGTAGGACCTCATCCAGCAGTGGATAGACGCGGCACGTGGGGGAGGGACCTCATCCAGCGGTGGATAGACGCAGCAAGTGGGTGGACCTCATCCAGCGGTGGATAGACGCAGCACGTGGGGGGAGGGACCTCATCCAGCGGTGGATAGACGCAGCAAGTGGGTGGACCTCATCCAGCGGTGGATAGACGCAGCACGTGGGGGGAGGGACCTCATCCAGCGGTGGATAGACGCAGCAAGTGGGTGGACCTCATCCAGCAGTGGATAGACGCAGCACGTGGGGGGAGGGACCTCATCCAGCGGTGGATAGACGCAGCACGTGGGGGTAGGACCTCATCCAGCAGTGGATATACGCGGCACGTGGGGGAGGGACCTCATCCAGCGGTGGATAGACCAAGCACGTGGATTGGTATTCATCCACGTGGGGTGGCCTTCACTCAGCAGTGGGCAGACGTAAGCACGTGGTGGGGGGGCATTCACATTCATCCAGACAAGGTGTGTGGTGGAGAAGCTTTTATCCAGCAGTGGATTTGCATAAGAGCCGTAAATACATAAACACACAATCTCGACGGCAACGTAAAGAATGTCGAGAGAGGGGGGAGGGTTCACGCCCTTTGACGACGCGAAAGGAACCCCCCCAACACCACACCATCTCACACTTGGATTGGCTGTGGAGCGGTGGTGCAGCGGTTAGCGCGCTGCGCAACGAACCCGGCGGACCGAGTTCGGTTCCCGGCTCACGGCCACCCAACACCACCAGTGACGATTCATCTGAACCGGTCCTGGGCAACCCCACCCCCCCTCCTCCCCTAGGTCGACTCAGCCTTAAAAGTGTAACCTTGGTGCGGTGTGCAAGCGTCGCCGCTGGTGAGACAAAGGCGGCCGGGCGTGGTGCTGGCCACCCACCCCGGTCGTGTTACCGTTCCCGGCCTTCATAGGTGCTCGCTACTCGCCAACAGCACTTGCCCCGACAGTCTGTTAAGGCTACGCGGGGGATCTTTGCCTTTGGGTACGCGTGTGGTGGTGGTGGTGAGCGCACCGATCACCACCACAAGGAACCCGGTCGACCCGGGGTAACTTCCGCCTTCGAAGGCGGCCCCTCGCAGCTGAAAGAGCGACTTGCCCCGAGCCTTCCGCCAAGGCTACGCGGGGGATCTTTGCCTTTGGTAGGCAGCGGAGAGCTTTGGGTGGGCCGCGTGACATCACCCCGGGGTATTTATAGAGTCTTCTTCACACCCCCCACCAACCACTATCATCATCACCAACAGCAGACGACACGGCTCTCTGCCGGGGAGGGAGTCCGGTTACATTTTTATTTAAATTCGCAGTTTCCTAGAACTCCGTGGTACACTCATCGCCGTCTGTCTCCTGCTATAGCACACACGGACACACATACACGTGTGTGTGTCCGTCTGGTTGTGTGTGGCTGTGGCTGGTGTCCAACCCTGGTGTACGTTTAGAGCGTAGGGTTGGCAAACTTGCGTTTTTTGGTTACCTTTGATTAGAATTCGACAAAGACGGCTTTCGAGCGCCGATTCTTACAAAGCTGGTTAGCCACCACAGCCACCAGCCAAGCGACGTTTCGCACAGTGGTAAGTTGCGAGTTCCGGATTAGTTGTGGTTTTTTTTAAAACCAAGTTGTGTGTGGGTTTTTGTTATTATTTAGTGGCTACACTTACCGCTGTGTTACGACTGATTTAAGTGTTGCGTTTGTTAAAGTACTCGAGCGTATTTGCGGTACTAGTATACTTAGAATAAAATAGATCAACTTCAGCCCGGTTATATCGACGATATTGAATGATTCGGACAGTCTTCGCTCGTGTTTACCTTAAATACAGGAGGTGTCAAGATATTTAAACACCCAAATCATCATCATCACGATCCAAGGGAAAGAAGGGCCCCCCTAGATGCCCACTGCTTACATCATAATAACGTCAACAAATAATTTCCACTTCTCGTGTTGTGCCCAATGTGATCGAGTTTAGTGTCCACGTCTGTCTGGCGATGTCGTCGTAATTGTCAAGCCCATTCCTCTGTGAGATCTTACTTCCATTGATCCGAACAATAACAACGACAACCACACACTTTTAAATGTTTCTGTTGTATTCCATCCTCCGTGGCACCTAATCGGATCTTCTATTAAACCCGTATTTATGTCAGCTTATATAATATTTTGATTCTTCAATACATTGGTAATGACACCAAAGGTTACGAGTGACGTTCTAAAGTGTTTTTGTTTGACTTAATTCGGGGTAGAGTGTGCCAATTTCCTGTTGTTACACTACAGATGTTACTTAATATACAACTCTTACTGACCAGCGTGGTGAAGTATGGCCAAATAAGCCAGAGCACGTGGCATTGAAAAGCCCTTTCCGACACTGGCAATAACGTGTAGCGTAGTAGTTTTAATCAGTCTAGTTAGTACAATGAAATACTGTTATACATTGGTATTGTATAACATTAAGTGCTCATGGTTCCTATTAAGTATGTGGTAGTTTGGCAAACTGGATTGTTCCGAATGCTACATTGTCAATATCGGTGTTATTGTGTTCCATTGGGTAGCACATCCAAGGTAGTGTTTGTGAAAGTTACATTCGTAGTGTTTCAGCGTTTATAATTATTGTAAAAGTTGCAGCGGTGTAGTTATTATTGTATTATAAGAAAGTATGTTCGGAGTCTTTTAAGCGCTTTGCCTAGGAGTTGTGTAGTTTGATTTAAGTCTTCGCATGAGTTGAAAGATAAAAAGAGTTCCCGCTAATTTTTCGCACAATGGAATTGGAAACAATAGATTTAATCTTCAAACCGGCTTCGTTGTCGATTAATCTTTGCTTGTGTTTGGCTTTCAGCTTGCTTGTGGGGGGGTGGGAATCCACTGCTAGATGAGGCTTTTGTTGCTTATATAAAGTACATTGGCTGGCTGTCTAATTTTACAAGAGTCGAGGCGCTTTTACGACACATTTATTGCGTGTAATAGCGAACCCAGAACGAACGTAGCGTGGCGCAACAATTGTTAATATTTAATGGGCTGTTACACAAGGGAAGTTGTAATTTGGTGCTTTTTTTTTACATTTTTAAGACGGTAAAAACTAAAAAAAAAGGTTGTTAAAGCCACGTGTGTGTACGTTTTACCGTGCAATTCGTATGAAATGTTGTAAGACGTAAAATATGCAGTCGTCGAAAGGAATGTGTTTTTTTAAATCTCAAGAACCGTGATTTGACGACGTTAAGTATTTAATGTAGTGTTTAAAAGTCAATTCACTCGGTACTGTACGTATTATTTCCATTGTATTTTTAATGTAGGCGAATATTTAGCAAGTTCTAGATTGAACACACAACTAGTGAATATTTCCTCGAGGTATAATTTGGAATTATACGGTATAGTTCAAAAATAGTTTAAGCATTTCACAACATTTTCGCTAAAGCAGCGTTGATGATCGTTAACGTCTAAACGTACCCCACCAAATCTCGCGATACTTTGTCCAACGCACCATACACTGGCATTGCAAATCTCGCGATAGTTTGCAAGAGGTGGCGGGGGGAAGAGACTAATTAAAGATTGTTTTAATTAAAAATGTTTTTTTTAATTATCTCGACAACGGTCATTTATTAGTTTCTTAAGGACCGTCCTTAAATAACGTGAAACAAAATATGTTTTAAACGCGTTAGAGAGAGGCGGGGGGGGTGGTGAGATTCTCTCTCAATCCGAGGCCTGCTGCTGTGGGTAGACGCCGCGATCTCTCTCCACCCTCGTGAGTTTACATTAACCTCGTTTAATTTACAAGTACTTTGTTAATTGTAAACAAAACAAACACTACCCACCTTACATCGTCTTGTAAATCTCAAATGCTAGTTCTGAATGGTTTGTTGATGTCGTAAATGTGTGGGGGGTGGTGGTGCCTCGCGATCCTTGTGTCGCGTTGGGGTGGGTGGGTGGTCAGCGTCCGTTTCTTAAAATAACAAATTAAAAAAAATATATAATCACTTTTACATCACTATTACATGCTGGTGATGTCCCATTGAGTTTATCAGATACGTGCATTCTATTTTCGGCCGAGTTCATTGATAAGCAACGATGTTCCTTTAATTAAATCGGTCGTGGTCACATTGAGATTAAACGTTTTAATTGTTCACTTTAACAAAATAGACGCTCACAGTAATACAGTTGACAAGTGGTCTTATTGTAGATTATCATTTACCCCTACCCCTCTTTATTTAATAAAGAATGCAGTTATAACGATATGGTAATTGCACGTTTTCAGTTGTCCCATTGATATCGCCAGATGCTCGTTATTTAAACCCATTGGTATCGATCACCAGATGCTCGTTATTTAAACCCATTGGTATCGCCAGATGCTCGTTGTTTAAACCCATTGATATCACCAGATGCTCGATGTTTAAACCCATTGGTATCGCCAGATGCTCGTTATTTAAACCCATTGGTATCGCCAGATGCTCGTTATTTAAACCCATTGGTATCGCCAGATGCTCGTTATTTAAACCCATTGCTATTGTCACAGATCTCCTTTAACCAAAATTAGCTCTCGTTGGTAGAATGGCCTCAAAGATTCCCACGTGGACCTTGCTTACTGTCCGTCGCATGCGGTATTCCCTTTATTAAAACCAAGTTAAATTGGGGGGTGATCGTGTAATTGTTTTATTAACATTGTTTGGGAAGGTGTTATTTGATCAATGTGCCATTGATTGTTTGACCATCCCAGAGTCGCGTTAAGTTAAGGGCTCTCACTGGTGGCCAGAACCTCGCCTGGTATGCAGGAGGTCGTCGTTTCGAGCCCGACCCTGACGATGTTTGCTGTATATTTGGAGTTTGCGGTGTCTCTCTCTGTGGTCGCGTGGATTTTTCTCCCGGTCCTCCGGTTTTTCCCTCTGCATTTTAGAATAAACGTGCGATTATAGAGTGTTTGGCTGCTATGTCCATCATACACATGATGACAATTGTCACCCGCCAGTTTTGCTTCTGAAAAATCGCTAAATAGTTAAGTGGGTCTTATCTGGTGAAATAAAAAAAATAGTTTAGTTTAACATTTACAGGACCGTACTGTGCAGTTTTTTTTGTATGTAATTCATGTCCCCTTTAATGTTGTCAACGCTTATTGATAGTTTCCCATGGTGTATTTTAACCAGATACCTGTGAGTTGATATGTACCTCTTTATATTTATATTGTGGTTTTTATGTAGTTAGACATGGTCACGTATATTATAGCTTTACCATTTATCTTAAGCGTGTGTTGCGAGTGCGTTGATTTTGAATGATACTGAAAGTACGTTGGCCTGTTCGCCACGCGAGAGTGTGGTTGATATCAGCTGAAATGCCATTCAGATTATAATTGATATGGTTTTAAGCACATGAAAGCTCATTGGGAATATTTACCTCCAATTGGTCTTGTTTTAAGTCATTGAAGACGGCTGTATATTTCATATGATTGGGGAAAACTGTTATCTTCATAATGTCTGGTGATATATACAGATAATACAATAGATAATACATTAGCAATCGTTATTAAATGGGCAGACGTTTATCAATAGGTTTGCTCCAGAATTGAATATCTGGTACCTGTTTTACACCGACACAAAATTAAATATTGTTTAAGGCGTTAATATTTGGGCATGATGGGTAGTGAATGAATTACTGTGAGTCGTGAAGGTCTCCTAAAGCGATACTTAAAATGTACACACCACGGTGGCGATATGTTAACTCCCTCCCCTGGTATGCAGGAGGACGTGGGCTTGTTCTCTCAAACCTGATGATGATGCATGTATATTTGTAGTTTGCATGTTCTTGCCGTGGATTTTTATCCGTGTCAATCCGGTTTCTTTCTCCACATTCAGAAACCCTGCGTTTAGAGTCAGTTGGCTGCTATAAATGTCGACGTGCTAAGCCACCACTTTTAGCAATCGTTTGTGGCCTGGTCGCTTCTGAAAAAGAGCTACATAGCTCGGTGGGCCTTGCCTGGTAAAATAAAAATATATATACAGTAGTATAGCTTAGTACATGTGCAAGCAAGACATGGGAATCACCGACGCCAAAAGGTTAATCTCTTTCCCTAGAATGTTGATCTTTAATTCGGATACATTTCCACTGAATATGCACATTTTTAATTAAATCCATTAAATGGTAGGCTGAATTCACGTACTGTAGTTTACACTTCAGATGCACATTTGAGTTAATTAAGTTGTTAATTTGGCTGACAATCATTGGTTTATCAAAACGTATTTTTTATTATGTGGAGCGTTGAAAGTCGAGACATTTACTTTTCCCACCCGTGTTGAAGGCCCCTTGGAGAATCCACACTTTGCCCTTCCACATTCCATGCCATGTGGCTCACCCCTGTGCAACCTTTAAACTATTAGTCAGAGAAAAGCCACAACCAAAGTTTCAACTGGAAAATCCGTTTTTTTTCACTGTTTACCCTAATTAATGGTAAATCTCATGCTATGAAAAAAATTCTTGGAACGGTGATGAATAAATGTATAGTTGCTGAATTGTGTTGTGGTTTTATTCCACGATTACAATAAATAACTTAAGTGCACAGCATTGCTTTATTTTGTACGAGTAAAACTCTTTAATGGCCCATTATTTAATGCCTAAAATACATCTTATAAACTGCCTGGCAACACCATTTACAATGAAACTACAGGAAGTTGTATTTTCCTTTTTGTTTAATGTCAGCCCAAGTGTGTGTCAAAAAAATAGCCCCGAGCAAAGCTTAGAATCTTATCGCAATTCGTTGGAAGCATAATGTAGTTTCACTGCCCTTTTGAATAATTGCCAAATAAACTGAGGAATAAATTTGACTTCATCTGTGTTTTTTTTGCAAAACGAAAAAAAAACTTCTAGGCAGTGAAAGACTACGCTTATCCAAATATTTTCATCCTCCCCTGGTTGCTTATCAGTGTCAAGAGTGGTCCAATGAGATAGTTCTGCTTTCCAAGGGCCAAGTCACGAGTCTCTGCGTGAGTCAAGTAGGCTAAAGGTTGCGAGTGTATAGTTCTCAGAATCGTTAAACAAATTTAGGTATTTCCCAGTGCGATTGATTGTCACCAACTGGAATGTGAAAATTGCGTGCTGCCTTGTTGATCCTGACATTAAATGTTATTGCCGTGTTGTTTCTACCCTCAGGGTGTTTTTTGTTATTTATAACGAGCAATGGAAGAAAGCACGGCGACCGTCAGGAACTTCCCCGCTCTGTGCAGAATGCAGCAGGTAAGAGTATCGGGGTAGTCGAATCTAGGCTTCCCACCTTCACCAACCCACATTGACTAGCGATGGTGAAGTAGGGTCAATTAACCCCCCCCCCCTCACCGCATGACCTGCATGGGAAGTGTAATTTCTCTTTCGAGTTAATTGACAACAACAGCAGGGTGATGCGGAATGTGAGCGTGGCATTTCTGTAAGGCCCATGTGTCTTGAGCGAGAACCATCTTGATAAGTAAATACATTTCACCATTTGCTGTAGGTTGACTCGCCTCTTGCGTGCGAGTGTGCGTGTGTTGGTCGGTGGTGCGTAATTATATGCTCCGGCATGTCATGGCTAGTTAGGAAATAATATGGTGTTTAGATGGATGCATGATTTAATTTAATTTCGTTTCTGTTAAACATGCATTGAATGTCATTGTGTAAGAATAATTCATGCATATTTTGTAAAGGTTTCTCACTTGACTTCCTAAGGCCTCTACAGGGTGGTCCAGGTGTTTTGTGACCCCCCCCCCAAATAAATGCCCCCTAACATGTTTTTCCTGTGTATATTCATTCCTGTTTTAAAGAAAGCTTACTTAAAAAATATATATAAATGTTTTAGAGGAATTAAATGGGAGTCACGAGACATCTGGACCACCCTGTACATTCACTGCAGTGTTAAACCATAATTGATAATCGTTTCATCTTCTTTGGTTCTTTCGGTAAAGTCACGTAGAATGAGAATAATTGTGTTATTTTATTATTTCATTCTCATTCTACGTGCCTTTACCGAAAGAACCAAAGAAGATGAATCCTTAAATGGTTATCGTTTCTTGTGTTGAATTGCGACCTAGTCGAATAAATGCGCCCATAAACGGCACACTATGCTACAGTCGCAGTGACCAGGGTTTGATTCCCAGCCATGTATCTGAATCTGTTCTGGGTCTACACGTGCTCTACTTCCAATGTTCTTCACCAATTTTCAGTGAATGGCCACTTTTGCCGATGATACATCGATGTGAAGGGCTGCCAAACTGCCTGCAAACGGGGGCGTTTTTACATTCGAGGGCTGCACTAAAGGCCACCAGGGGCCGCCAGTGTCCTGTGGGCCTTGCAATGAAGAATGTTCCTGCTCGTCCTTTAAATGCAGTCTGTAGACCCAAACATATTGGTAGGCAAAAGCGACTGGGTTTGGGATTGGTCACACTATCTTCTTTGAGTGCCATTCTGGGATTAATAGTTGCTTGGTAAACGGCGCTTGCCGTATGTCTGTATGTAGTGTGTTGGACTTCTTTCGCTCCGTACGTAGCCAACCGTGCTAATCGGAGCACGTTTGGCTACGTAAGGCTCCTACTATATATTTTTTATAGCTCTTTTTCAGAAGCGACCTGGCCACAAATGATAGCGCAACGAAGTGGCTTATCACGTGGACATTTCTTGCAGCCAAATTACTTTTAAACGCTTGATGTTGATTCTAAATGGGGGTTGAGAGGCGGGCGGCGGGGGGTCGATCTTTGCGTGTGGTTTTTTTGGGGGCCACACAACCAGCTCTTGGTGTGTTGACCTTCTTTGTTTTATAACAGGTGCCCGCTAACGATACTTGCCCTGCAGGCTATTCGGCTCAACAGGGGGTTGGCGGGAGTGGGGGGTTGCAGCTTTTCTTTGTGGCCAAGCATTTTGTTGTTTCCCCGTTTTAAAGGCTCAAATTGGTTTGGCATCACAAATAGAAGAACGGCCAAAAAACACAAAGAAACCACAGTGGTGGCGTGCAGCCACATGCAAAGTTGGCTCATTTACAGTTTTAATATTATATGCGTGGTGGTGGGGGATGCAGGGCTTATGCGCATGTGGTAATTGGGTAGTTCGGCTCATTTGTAAAAGTGGCACGTGCATTTCTTTATTATGGCTCGACTGTTTTTATGTTTAGTGCGTGCATTTTCGTTGTGGTCTTTAAAAAAAAATAAACTTGTGTTTTAAGGAATTGATGTCGTTTTAATGGCGAGTTGAGTGGGGCTCATGCCGAGTTGGCTTGCATCTCACGCGGTCAACTCCGTTAAGTCTCGGTCAGGCAGTTGGCGACAAAACGTTGGTTTTCAAGTGGGAATTAAAGGACCCTGTATTGATGTTTACGAGAGTAGAAATCTTGTCTGTTTTTTTTTTAAATCGTAATTGTCGGCAGGGCCCGTTGTCTGTGACACGAAAAAAAACTATTACAGAGCTATATCATGGGACCTTTTTTTTTGCCAAAATCCAAGTCTGAATAAATATGAATCGGTTTTAACATTTCAGGAAATACAACAGGTGTAAAGGTGGTCAAACACCAACTATAGAAACCTTTTGCAAGGGATCAAGCCTGGATTAACCACACATACTAACGAACATGCTCTGCTAATATCTGCATTGTCTTTGAAACTGATTGGTGTCAGGCAAGTACACGTGGTTCATGCAGACATGATTGCTTGCAAAAGGTAACTACAGGTAGTCCTCTACGATGGAGATGCGTTACGACGACCCCATCGTAAGTCAAAAATATCGTAAGTCGAAGATGGCCTAGCCTATCCAGGAGTCTTAAAGAATGGTGATAATTTAGCAAAACGGAGCAATTTACAGTACCGTACTATATAAACTATATACTGTATGTATTTATTAATTACAATACTGTATTGCACAGTACAATGTAAAGTAAAAAAACAAGGTAAATTCTTCGCCTACCTATATGAACTGCAATTTAATAGAAGGTGCGGAAGATGCGTACATCCCGGCAGCGTACCAACGTACAGTATCGTACCTCGTACACTGCTGCGTTTGCCTGCCTTGCGAAATTTTAAATATTTTACAATTTTGTCGTATCGCCATCGTAAGATCGAAATATTGTAAGTCGGCCCATCGTAACTCGGGGACTGTCTGTATTTGGTGTTTGAACATCTTAACACCCGTTGTCTTGCTAGAGAAAGGGTTAAACCTATTCTTATGTTTTAATAATTAGAGCTCTTTGTATGAGGTACATCTCGATGCCTTCCACACGCATCGTTAACACTCCATGAGAAATGTAAATGTCCTTTCAAAACAACCCTTTGTTAACGTGCTGTTGGGTGAAGGCCTTCTTCCCATGCTGCGTCGATTGTGGGGGTTGTTTTTTTCTGCTTGGTGAGGATTAGTGAAATATATACGGTATACACTAATTGCTTTACGGCTGAGAATGGCACGTCATACAGTGTTGTACCACACAGAGAGTAAGTTGAAATCAATGTGTACTGAATTTGTGATAATGTTTGTTCCTTGGGGGCAAATAATTCGTCATCGGTGCAAGTAACACGCATTCGGGAAAATGTATTTTTTTTTTAAAGAAAAGCTGTTACGGGAGGTCAACTTGACTTGATTTCGTCATTTCTAAAGCTGAACTTCCTGTGTTTGTGGTACAAACCACAGTAATGTAACAGGCGACTGCATGCTCTTTGCCCCACACTGTATAAAAATAATAGATGAGGAATGTGGAATTTCCCCCACTCTCTGGACGGGGGGGGGGGACAGCATTCGTGATTTATTCTCTAATACTCGTGCGGTGACATTTTTACTATTAAATGTGACTTACAGTAAGGGTCAATGTGCTTTGGGTTTTTTTTAATGTACCGTGGTCCCATAATATGCCAGTCTGCAAAGCTGTGACCCAATTGAACAATGTTTAATGCATTGCGTAGATACTTGAAGGTTTGTGCTCCCCATTGTTAAGAAAGGCTGAATTTGTTTATGATGCTGCGTTGGCAGTGAGTGGCGCATGAGGACAAACAAAACAATTGCTAGATTCGTCAATAACGCTGTCATTAAATATGTAATAATAATTTAAACTTTTACCGTGCACAGTTTTCGCTCGTTCTCCGACGGAGAACAATCCGTAAGAGGTTTTTTTTTGTTGGGTTAGATTGCGTGAATGTGTCGCTAAACCCGCCACCACAGCCAATTAATAAGGTTTGTCGAGTCAACGAAACGTGCCAATTCCATACTAGTTCAGCACACCAGTGTGTTGGAGAGTAAAAACCCACAACATGTACATAAGCCATCGCGTCAATACACAGGCGTTACTCTCAAACGCAATTCTGGGCTGTTGTGTACACGCAGTCCGGTGATCTTAAAAAAAAAAGTCTGAATTTGTTCGCTAACGTGAGTTAATATGCGAGCATTTCTTTTTACAAAGGCAGAAATTTATTTTTTAAACAAACGCTTTCCCCAATTGGGTCTTGTCTGGTTTTCAAAAAGTCGACAAGCACAATAACCTGGAACGAATAAGCGTGCAATAAATACTGTGCATGGGGAAAGTACCGAATGTGTTTCTCAAGTGGGTAAAAAGGCGCTCCGTATTGGGCAGCCGTTTCATACCACCAATGTAAGATATCTCGCTCACCACGTGATCAGACGAGTTTTTTCCCATACATACTAGGGTGAGTATCTATTCTTTCTGCTCGAGCGCCCAAGGGGGTGGTGACCAACGAATCTGGAATTCCCCTGCTTGATTCGGCTTGCAGTCTTACTGAAATGTGTTAAAACCCTTGCTCCGTGCTGGGTCTAGTCTACTTTTTTTAGCTCTTGCGTGAGCACAGCAACGACTGCTTCCCATTGTCTTGAGTTCGGATTTGCCGTCCGGTTCTATACGGTTTTTTTTTCATAGTTGGCGTTGTTTAAAATTTAAACGAGTTAATATTCGTGAAGGAGCAGCGATGAGCTGTCGCGACCGCAGGCGCGCGTTGAACTTGGCGTTTTGGCTTGAGAGGAAGGTTTGTGCAAGATGGGCCGATGATGGCTTGTTAAGTTGTGTTTTTTTTCTTGGGAGTTTGTGTGCTCGTTGTAGTTCAATAGCTTAGAACGGAACGTATCGTCTGTTTTGTTGCTCGATTGTCCTTCCGTCCGTCGTTTGTGTGTTTGTGTCCTATTGTTTACTGCTGGTCCATCTGTCTTGTCAGACACTTGATGTTTTTCTGTCCCACTCCTTTGGACGACCTTTTACCTACTTGTGTGTGTTCATTGTGAGCGGTAATGGAATGGTTTGCACGCTGCGTTACAAACCCGGTGACCTGATTCCGATTCCCGCTCACGGCCAACACCCAGTGACGATTATCTGAACCGGTCCTGGGCCTCGCCTAAGTTGACTCGGCCTCCAAAAGAGTACCTGGTGCGGTGTGTAAAACGTCGCCACTGGGGAGACAAAGGCGGTCGGGCGTGGTGCTGACCACCCACCCCACCCCCCCTCGTGTGCCACAGTGCCGGCCTTCATAGGTGCTGCTCGCTAACAGCACTTGCCCCAACAGTCTGTTGAGGCTACACGAACGGAGGGGATCTTTGTCTTCATTGTGTGCGCTGGCCCCTTTTACTCGGCCATCTGTCGTAGCTAATTAAGTATTTAAATACGAGGTGAAATGCCCGTTGTGAGCTATAACTTTGTTCCTTTTGTCACGGAGAGCTGGAGGATCCAGACTGGTTATTTATAAGTTGCAAACAGTATTGAAATTTGGTCTGTTAAAGTTGATATAATTTTTTTTTAAAATGAGGGTTCATTTAATATCTGTGCCGCTGCCTCGCTCAGATGTATATTGTTGAACGTCTTTCGCGCACCGTACGTAGCCGACCGTGCTAATCGGAGCCATGATGATTTTTCTCCAAAAAAAAACCCCATCGCTCTCCGTCTGCAGTTGATGTTGTCTCGAGTGGATTGTTTTTCTTCTTCTAAGAATCATGTGAGCCATGAATCTGTTGAAAAATGAAGGCCTCTCCAAGCCGATGTTGTCTCTCGTGGGTCTTGTGATGTTCTTCTGCACGCGATCTGATTTTTTTTATCGCTCAGTCCCCGCAGTTTGATGTTGTCGCTAGTGGGTTCCACAAATGAAAAAAATCTAGCTCTTCCTACTTTGGTAATACAGTACTAAATAATCCAGGTCCCATTTTTGCAGTCAAACCTAGCTCAAGCGTAGGATTTGCTTTCATTTGCTCGTTATTACAAGTGTATCCTACGAGTAATGCATATTGTTAAACATGGTCCGCATATGTGTGTAACGCTTTCAGTAGACTTGGCCTTATGGTAGACTGCATTGTGAAGTCCAGCAGGGTGCCAGGGTTTAAATGTCTTTCTTCACAATGCTCATTAACATAATTGGCTTCACCTGATGCGAGGAATGTCGGGAATTTGGTTGTTTTATATTCTAGTGCCATGTGTCCAGAAAAATGCAGACCTTCCAGGAATGTTTGTTTTGTTCTTTAAATGGGCGAATTCGGTCTAGTTCTCGGAAGGTTAGATTTGGTTCAGAATCCCCCAGGCTAATTAAATATTTAGATTGTGAAAAGATAAATTATTTTAAAGGTTCTGATAGATCTAATGTGAAGTAATGTGTGCTCTTTGTTTAACCCTAAAAACTCTCACGGAGTCTCGAGCACCTTCCCCCTCCCTCCCCCACAATGTATGCCTAAATTTTGATTGATTGTTTTATATTTTTATTATTTCATTGTTTCCCTTCTACGTGACTTTACCGAAAGAACCAAGAATATATAATGTATGTATAGGTTTACAGAAAGATGATGATCATTCGGAAGGAGAATTCCACCTTTACCTTGGTGACATGACAGAATAATATTGTGGATCCTATGTTTGAAAATGGACCTAATTTTATTTCGGCCTTTGTCACTGACAATTTGCATACATTTTAGAGAATGTGTTTTTTTGTTTTCTATGTTAGGGCTGTCATAATGTTTTATTTCACCAGGTAAGGCCCACTGAGCTATATAGCTCTTTTTCAGAAGTGACCTGGCCACAAATGATAGCTCCAACAGCTTTAACGGAGTGACCTATCAAGTGGAAATGTATAGCAGCCAAATACTCTAAATGCATTTCTAAATGTGGAGGAAAAACCGGAGGACCCGGAGAAAAATCCACGTCATCACGGAGAGGGAGCCATGCAAACTCCAAACATACGGGCGTTGGGTTCGGGATCGAAACCACGACCTCGTGTATACCATCTTCTTGGTTCTTTCGGTAAAGTCACGTAGAAGGGAAATAATACAATAATACAAATAAAACATAATAAAATAAAATTCTCACCACGTTTCGGCCACAGCACAAGAAGCCGTCCTCAGGTGAAGAAACAGCTGTCGGAAAGACAGCTCTGTTTCTGAATTTTATTTTATTATGTTTTATTTTTATTCTTTTATTATACCGAAAGAACCAAGAAGATGAATCCCTGCAGTCACGAAAGCTTTAAATCGTGTTTACCAGGCGAGGTAGTTAACATCTTGCTATCGTGGTGCCTCGAAATTGATGGTGTCATGCTATCAGCATGCACACTCTTGTCCAGGGATCAGAATTCACCGGTTCAAAACCTAATTTTGACCACACGATGTAAAACTTTTACAACCCGCAATAATGTATCTCGCTGCGTTTAGAAGAAGTACTTTTCTTGTCGGCAGCATCGGATTCCATTTCCGCACTTGGTATGTGTTCGGAGCGTTATAACCACCTGCGCTCCAAGTATGGTGGCATTTAGGCCTCCATTCTTCGTTCTGTCAAATATGTGATGAACGACGGTATGATATGTGTGTTTGTTTTTGAAAACCAATCATTGTTTGGATGGTGTTTTTTTTTTGTTTCCAGGAGTTCATAATGATTCGAGTCCAGGAGCCTTTCTTGCACAACAGTGATTCATGGCGACCGTACATCAGCTACGAGATCTTCCTTCACGTAAGGCCGCTTCATTGTTTCGCTGGTAAACAATAGAGGGATTATAATCAAGCAGCTGATGGAGCAAACATTTTTTTATTTTAATACATATAATGTTTTTACTGAGATACGCACACACAAGTCCGGTACAACGCGCCAGGGATGTCGGGGTAGGTCGGGGGAGGGGGGAGGACAGAAAAACCGGCGCTTGCACAGATCGAAGGCTGGGAAGAATAAAACAAACTCTGTGCTCATCCAGATTAGGGGGTCCTCTGGTGGGGGTAGGGGGGGGGGAGACAATAACCAACACTCTAGGGCAGTGGTTCTTCTTAACCTGGGGTGGACGAACGCCTTGGGGGTGCGAGATGCCCTTTTGAGGGGTGCGAGACACATGATCAAAAATTCAAGTTAAGCCAAAAAAACCTCTCTTATGGAAAATACAAGTTAAGCACGTGCATGTAAATACAACTACTTTGTTTCATCAAACCCTATGGTTTTTATTGACGTATTTTTTTTTTTACGATTGAGAACCAAAGTGGTGGAGGCTGCAGTAAAGGTTAAGAACCACTGTTCTCGGGGTAGATCGAGTGTGGGAGGGCGGTGACGAAGGGACACACGACAAATCAGTTAACACAAATGCTCCTTTATGAGATGGGGTTACAACTTCTCCATTCTGGGCCCATCCACTCTCAACTCACAAAGGGAAATAAGGAAAGAAGTGGTGGGGGGGAGGGGGGTTAGGGAGGGGGTGGATGGAGCATTTTTTATAAATGACATGATAACGAGCGTGATGGTTGTACAGTACGATACAACTCAACGTGGATTTTTACGTTGCCTAAATGAAACGGGATCTCGGTTTTTACATGAGGTGTGTGTGTGTTGTGGCCTTTACATTTTTGTTGGGGTTTGAGTGGCCTTGGTCTAATGGCTCCTTTCTGTTGGTTTTGTCGTTCGTAGCCAAACCGTGAAAATACGTCGATGAAATGGCTAAAAAAAATAAACCATCTGCATTGTTGTACACTAAAAAGACTTGAGCTTAATTTCTCGCTGAATATTTTCCATGTCGCTGGTCGGCTGGAAGTGGCCACATGTTGACTAAATGGGTCAAGCCATATAGCGTGAGCTGTACTGGATGTGGTGTGCCGAGCCAGAAATATTTTCCGGCTCGTTTGACCCAGGACATGCATATTGAGCCGAAATTAAGCCCTTGTAGGAATGTAACAATTTATTTTTTACTTTATTGTTAAGATGATGATGATACGGGCATCAAGTCAACGTGTGTAACAATCGATTAGATACAATGAATTAAAATTATAATGGTAATGTTACCTTCAGGTTGAATGGAACAAACAAGACAGGAAATTGGATGGAGACCGACGATTTCAAATGACGAAACGACAATTGTTTCCCAAAATTGTGAATTGTCTGGAACCTCGAATGCGAATTAATTCCTTTTGTCCTGACGATCACAAACAATCATCTGGAATTGTAATTTTTATTTTTTTATTTTGTCCTGACGGTCAGTCATCCCAACTATGAAATCAAATCATCTAGCATCGTCATCACGAATGGATCCTCCTCCATACCCTTGTGTGTAGAATTTACAATAACCGCGGGGATATTATAAACTAAATTGGTCCGGGTGAATCGGCGGTCGAGCGAGAGTGGCTTTGCGCACACAATCGGAAGGTTGCATCTTGAAATCGTGATTGGGTTTGGACTCGGCCAATCATCATTCGAGGTTTGGTTATATAGAGTACAGCTTAAAAGCAAACTCGATAGTAATTGTTGTCTGGATAGACTCGACCCTAAACGTAGCAACGTGGACTTTCCATCACTGGCTCAGGGCTGTAAACAGGAGATGAGCACCGTCTCAGTGCTCATTTGAGCTGGAAAGCCACAATTTTTTTTGTTAATACCTTGTCAACAATTGCATTTGATCGTTAAATAAGTAATATTTTAAAAAAATATTTTAAAACATGCTTTAATGAAATGTACCGTACTTGTAATGGAGGAACTCCACGACCCCAGGAAGTGGCCCCGAAGCTTGCCATAACGTAAGGGACTGTGGCCAGTTACAGCCAACGTCAGTTTACCGTGGACAATTAGAGCCAAGCCGAAACATAACATATAAAAAAGAATGTGTTTTTTAAAATTTTTTTATGATAGAATATAGTATTGTCATCAGTATGACACAAGTATAGCAAGTTTGCAGTCAATACCACATTGGGAAGTGGGTTAAAATTGAGTTACAAGATTTGAGGTTATGACAACAACAACAGACAGTTAAAAGAAAGCGTGTAAAAACCTCGATCTCACGCACACGACTATGCACGTGTCATCAACGGAATAGATTTCATGCTGGATGTAATTACCAGCGAAACGTCGTATTCAAATTGTAAATGTTGTGGATTTACTCTATCACAATTGGCTGTGTTGGGTGGTGGAGGGTTTCGACACATTTATACTTCCGCGATCTAACCCATAAGCCTTTATTATGAATAATATTGGTCGCGAAAGCCTACGTGTTAGACTGAAAACCCACACCATTTACAATTCAAGTCGTGATGTTTTGCTGGCGATTTAAAACAACCAGCTTCATCCGGTGACAGCCAGAATTGTGGAGAAGTATTACCTGCCACGTTAAAAAAAAACACAGCGCAAAAACAAATACGATACGGAAACCTGCGGAACTCGACGATTGTGTGGGTTTTGCTCTCCAACACTCCGGTGTGCTGAACTGGTAACTAATTAATTCAAATTTAGAATGTGCATTCCATCCTAGGATTCCAATGCGCAATGCATGAATAGCAGGAAACAAAAACAGAACCAGGGCAACCGACCAAACTAAAAGAGGGGAAGGCCACTTTAAAGACAAACCTGACTATAGTTGGCTGTGTCGGGTGGTGGCGGGTTTGACGACATTTAGGCAATCTAACCCAAAAAACGTTCATTATAGATTATATTGGTCGTGGAATCCCTACTAGTACATGTTTAAACTGACTTCTGCTGCATCCTGTCCCCTATGTTTTGCGTGCAGACGAACAGCATCAGCTTCACCCGCAAGACGTCGCGCGTGAGGAGGCGCTTCAGCGAGTTCGTGTGGCTACGCCAGAAGATGATGAAGAACGCGTCCATGATGTAAGCGATGCGGCTCCCGTGATGTTACGGTGCAACCTTCCTCGGAAGCCGCGCTAATGCTGGGTGATAGTGGGGGCGGGGGGGATCCTAACGGGAGGCGTATTTCGGCTTGCTCTTAAGTATTAAATAATGCTTTGTGAAGTAATTTCCGTTACGTTTATACGCAGTTAATAACAAGGGATTTAAAAAAATAAAAATGCGTAGGGTTTCGTAGACGATATCGTGAGTTGTGATATATTTTTTTTGAGTTGGGCCACTTAATGAATCTGGTCAAATTTGTTGTCGCAAAACCCCTCCAATGCCCAACGTCGTGGTGTGCAAGCGTTCTAACGTGTTTACGGGTTACCCAAAACAACTTTCGCATTCCAAGTTTAATTTACGTTTGGTAACTTAACAATGCTTGATAACTATTTAATGGCAAAAAAAAAATTCCCGGGAATACGAATTAATCGGAGTCGCTTACTATCACCGTGCAGTGGATTCGAAAGGCTGAGGTTCACTGGATGTGTAAGAACTGCGGGGTTTTTTATGTCATGGTTGAAGCATTAATTCTGTTTGTTTGTGAATTAAATGAGAAAAATAACGTTAACCGGAGGACGCATTACACAACATGTGATGTACCGGGCAACGGATTATTGCCAAGTTCCATACAACAGATGAGCACAGCGTGTATTCACAGCTTTATAATTGCTTGTGCACGCACACAAACGTTGTTTTTGGGGTCGGAGAGCTTCTGTTATGTATTTTTTTATTATTTCCTTCGGTTTGTTTCAGGTAGAGACTCTGCCTCGTGCTCAATTCTGGATCACTAGGGTTAGAGTTTTGAGAGATTTAACTGTGCGTAGCTAGTGGTGCGATGTAGTGATGTGGCTATGAGGTGGGGGGGGGGGATGGTAAGGGGTTGGAGTGGGGGGGATGGGTGGGGAGGCCAGTGGATTGACCATGGTCGATGATGATTGTTAGCACTCTTCACTTGCAGGAGATCCTTTACGGCGTGATGTTTTGTTTGACAATGTCCCGATCGTTTTCACTTTTTTTTATCTTTCACACCAGAGCTGTGCCACGTCTCCCTCCGAAGGACCTGTTCTTCAACTGCTGGTGCGATGACGAGATCGAGGAGCGGAGGAAGGGCCTCCAGACCTTCCTCAACAAGTGAGTGTCGCCTGCTTGGCCAGTCTTTGTCAGCTGCTTGATGATTGGTGGTGCCGGGGGTGGGGGCGGGGTTCCGCCAAAACGGATTATAAGGTCACCAACTTGACCAGGGGTCGGTAACCTGCGGCTCCGGGGCTAGTGTGGTGGCTCTTTTGGGATGCCCCCTTGCTGCACTTTGGGCTCACCTCTTTCAGCTCTTTGGCTGCCCCTCCTTTGTGGGTCTTTGGCTGCCCCCCTTGCGACTCTTTGGGCTCGCTTATTTCAGCTCTTTGGCTGTCCCTCCTTGTGGGTCTTCGGCTGCCCCCTGCCCCCCTTGCGACTCTTTGGGCTCGCTTATTTCAGCTCTTTGGCTGCCTCCCCCTTGCGAATCTTTGGCTGTCCCAGTGTGACTCTTTGCCTGCCCCCCCGTGTGGGCCTATGGCTACCCCCCCCCCCTTGTGGCTCTTTGGATGCCCCCCTTACCGGTAGCCGTTTAACAACAAAAAAACCCCCCGTAGATGTTGAACGTAATTTTACGTAAAGACTAATGATTAAATATGGCAGGGGAATGGGTTACTATGGAATGTCTTGGTTACAACAAAATGTACAACAGCCAAACTGTAATGTTAAATAATAACTCGGGGAGAGAAAAATTACGTAGTTTATTCCATCACCTATTTTGTTTATTTCGTTCAGAATGCATTCGTCATCTGCTGTACGCCTACTGCTGTGTTTGTGTACGTGTACAAGTAGCCCTACGTGTGAAGCCAACCATTTTGGCCAAGGACAAACACAACAAAAAATGTCTCCTAATTTGAACGGTTGCCGACCCATGACCTAGAATCTACCTTCTCGTGCTTATGCAGTGTGAGAACTTTGATTTTTTTTTATGAGCATTTTACTGGGGAATGTGATCATAGATGTCTGTCCAAGCAGAGTTGTGGTACAAGTTTGGCAGGTCCCATGTGAATGTTCCGTGCTCATGGTCCTGTTTAGTTGGTATATATATTTTTTATTGCTCACTCGGCACCGGGTTTTTAACAACGCCTCCACGTCATCGGCGTGTTAGTCATGTGATGGCGTGCACCGAATCCTACACAAACGCGTTACGTTTTTGCTCGCAATCCAATGGTGGGGGGTGGGTTGGCGAAACCGCATTGTGTTGCCCGGCAAACTTGAGTTCGATGCCAGTGTGCGCAGGTGCTGGGTGGATTATGGCTACTACATTGCAGGCTCATGACAGATTGTTACTGCGTTGGTTAGTGGGGGAGTGCGGAGGTCTTCATCAATACGTGATGACGATGACGACGATGATTTAAATATAAATCTCTGTCCGTTCCCCCCACCCCAATAAGTTAATAACCTCAGTGGACTTTGCCTTGCAGAATGAGGATGATTTAGTTTTATTTGTATGTTTTTTGGCTGATCTGTTTACCTTTCCTTTACTTTGCACTCCTATAGTGTCTTGGTATTGTTTGATGTTGTAACGTTCTTACCCGCCGCCACTGCTGGGCATCTGTGAAAAAAAATATTTTATAGCTCATCGGATTCCTCCAGTATAAACACCGATTCTGATTCGCTAACCCCTCCCCCCTTCCCCTTCCTTGTCCCCTGCCGCAGGGTGGTGGAGATCGCCCCTCTGCTGGCCGACAGCCTGCTCCACCTGTTCCTGCAGAGCACGCTGAGCCGCCAGGACATGGAGGGGTGCGCCATGGGCCGGACGCCGTACTCTGTGTCGCAGGCCGTGCGGTTCCGGTGCGGCGTCCCCGGCGCCGACGGAGACGACGGCGCCACCGCGGCCATTGTGCCCCTCAAGAAGTGGCAGGTCCTCGAGTACGGGGACTGGTTCGTCATCGAGGAGCTCGAGCCCTTCGAGTTCCCGCCGAACCACCCGCTCGAGATGGTGAAGGAGGAGGAGGAGCAGGAGGAGCAGCAGCAGCAGCAGCAGGAGAAGCGAGAGGAGAAGGAGGCGGAGGAGGAGGAGGAGAGGGACGAAGCGATAGAAGACGACGACGAGGATGATGAAGATGGCACTGCAGTGCCCATTGTTAAGAAGCGTTCGACGCAGAAGGACAGAAGGTAATAATGGTGACGACGACGACGACGATGGTTCTTTCAGCCAATTCGGTTGGAGCACTCTTTCAACACGACTTGCAATCATAGGGTTCAGATCCCAGTTGTTTGTCGACTAAGATTATTATATTTTTATTATTGTTAATTCACTGCTCGATGAAGCCCTAACCCACGCCGTGTCGGTCACGGGTGGTTGTTTGACCGCACTTCACCTGCTGCGAGCGATTTATCTGAACTGGTGCTCCCCCTCCTCCCCGCCCGTCCTTTTAACGACTTGCACTGAACCGGCATGGTAAAGTATGGTCAAACAACCCCCCCCCCCACATAACCGACGATGTGGCTTGGGGGGAGGCCTCCATCTAGCAGTGGATTAACGAAGGGCACGTGAATTGTTACAAGTCGCGGTGGCGAGATGAATCGCATGTCATGTGAAGTGTCACGTGTGAGGTCATAGGAACTAAGTGACAAGAGAATGTGGAAGGGGAAGTAGTGTGCATGCTGATAGTGTGACACCATCTGTTTCTGGATGCCATGGTGGCGAGATGTTAACTAGCTCACCAGGTATACAGGAGGTCGTGAGTTCGATCCTGACCTGACACCTACATATTTGGAGTTTGCGGTGTCTCTCCCTGTGGTCACGTGGATTTTTCTCCGGGTCCTGCTGTTTTTTCCCCTTCACGTTTAGAGTCAACGTGCGTTTTAGATGATTTGTCTACTGTTTTAAATTTGCAGACGATAAAGCCATCTCGTTGAGCTACCATTTGTGACCAGGTCGCTTCTGAAAAATGGGCTGCATAGCTCATTGAGCCTTATCTGGTAAAAGAAAGAATAGTTGCGCTCCGATTGTGATTGTTGTGTCCGGTCTTGTCTGTCCATCTCAGTGCCAGCAGCTGCTCCAGCGGCGTCTCCGTGGACAGCGTTTCCAGCAGCTGCAGCCCTCCGGCCTTGCCAGGCGATGGGGAGTCCACGAGACGGGTGGTGCTCGCGCCACGGCCACGGGAAAACGTCGGTGGCGATGGTGGGGACGACGACATGACTGGCGACGTTGGCGATGGTGGCAACGATAATGCTGGCGACGATGGTGAAGTTGGCGACGTCGGTAAAAGCGATGGTGGAAACGGTGACATTGGCAATGTTGGCAACAGCGATGGCGGCGGCGATGATGACAACAACAACAACGGTGGCGGCAGTGGAAATGGCGACATTGGCGATGGTGGTGACGTTAGCAACGTTGGCGACAGCAGCGGCGACAACGATGGCGACGCCGATGGGTCGGAGCCAGCGGAGAGTTCTCCTGAAAGCCGTGCCAACGGTGAATCGGTCGACACCAGCGACAGCGCGGTGTCCGGGAACGCCGCCTCGCTGCTTTGAGGAGTGCGACTGTGTCCACGGGGGAGCGCCGTGCCCTTGCGCTGCTACTCCTGTTCTTGGTGTCCTGTTGTGCTGTTCCTGCTGCTATTGTGCTTTTTCTAGGGTTGCCGCGATGTCCCCTGCCGTTTAACGTCCGCGAACGATCTGGTTCGCAGGATGTCGTTGCATCGCGATTGTCGTTGCTCGTGATGTTTTTTTTCTCTTAAATGTTTTCTTGACGAAATATTTACGGAACAGAAAAACCCCACTATGATTAAAGTTGGAAATAAACGCAGTATAATTTTTCCCCTTAAAAAAAAAGTTTCCAAGTAGCTCATGTTATGGAGATGATGACTTTATCGCTTTCGCAGTTACTCAGATTAAATCGTGCGATTGACAGCATGCGTGTTACAAGCATATTAGATTGTAAAGTAATCGTTTAAATTACTCGTCACAACCGCTTTCATTATTGCGCCCGTAATGTTACCAAACTTCTCAAGAGTGCAATTCTTTTTTTTGCCTAGTCCCTGGGGGCAGGCTTGTATTAAGTAAACTGCAGATGAATATATGTTAATTCATCTTTTTCCCCCCCCCCCCACTAGAAGCACAGGAATGCAAAAAAAACACACAATTAAAAATGTAATCTCCAAAGTTATGGGAATCCGATATGGAAATCACATCGTGAAATTTGATCTCGTATCGCGAGAAAATAAATCGCGGCAAGTCCCCTAGTTGTGTTACCCCGGGGTCTTTAACAGGGGCTGAGTGAAGTGGGGGGGCGGTGGGGGGAGACCAAAAACCGCCGCGCCGGTTACGATTTTGAAGAAGCCGTGAGGTTGCATCGCTGTCAAAAAAAAAAAACCCGCTGTGGCTTAAGTACGTTTTTGGTTCGGGATGCGTGTTCGTGTCCGCATGACTTCCCGCGTGCACAGCCAACACCGGCCGCGTTCGTATATCTCGCACGCCTCCGATCAGCACGGTTGGCGGCGTGCGGTGGCTGATAGAAGTTTCGACGTACGTAGAAGGGAGGTTTGTTTTTGTGAATTTTAGCTGCATGCTGTTTTACGGTGTTTTTTTTTTATAATGTTGTTCTTGATCATTAGAATGTTTGGTGCTGGAGACTCCGCCGCTGACGTGAGCAATGCAAGTCCGAGGAGAATGTTTACACTTGAAAAAAACACACTATTCCTATTGGCGTTAAGTGATGTTAACAAAAAAAAGAAGGGTTCGTGATTTAAATTTGTTGTTTTTTTTTTAAATTAAAAATTGAAAACGATGAAGATTTGTTTCATTTCAGACACCGATACTATGCTTGAATCGGTCGTGTTTTTTTTTTATTTTTCTCACGTAAACCTCACCCAATGCGTACGTTCCGTTTAAAGCGAGCGTGATTGGCATAATTAACGCACGGTTACCGTTTTTTGAAGTAAGATTTCAACAGCTTGGACTGCGTCTTACATGTTTACACTTGTTTTTGTCCCCTTAATGTATGCGTGACCTCGTGTAAAGTGTCGATAACTTAATATAAATTAGTTATAGCTTGAAGGACACCGTTGTAACTCTGCTGTAGATAATAGTTTGTGATTGTACTAACGTCATTAGCTGTAGTTTTGGTTTTACCGCTTAAGTTTTAGGATGTAGCTCTCGGCGTAGAATACATTTAGACCCTGCGGGGGTAACTTAGCAGCATTATATTATTACTAAAAAAATGGAACTAACTGTCGCAACAAAGCAATGCAAGTCTCTTTGTAATATTTTGGTTAATGGACCGTTGTTAAAACGATGTGAAATGCAAATGTTTTTTTTTCCCTACAATAATACTTTGTTAAATTGGCTCGAGTACCTCCTTCAGGGTGCCAAAGCCCTGCTCTCGAGTCTTCTCAGAATTGGTTTCTCTTCGCGCCATTTCGTGTTTCCGATCGCCGCTCGGCCACAGCGTTGCGTAGCGCTACGCGGAGGGATCATCGGGTGCTCTGCCAAGTGCGCTGGACTTCCAATCCCAGAGGGGGTGGCTCGTTTCTATCCGATGGGTTCCACCGCAGTCTGTCGCGTTGGTGGGGTTATGGTGTGAGTGGCGCCGCACTCGCATCGCTTCCAAAGATGTCTGCTCAGTGTGGAGGTGGAGGCCAAGTATCCTCTACGAGGGGTTCTCCAGAGCTCGCTCCAGTGGGGGGGGGGGGGGGGGGGGGCCTTGTGCAGGCAGTAGCTTGTACAGACAAATCCATTGCTGCACCTTTTATACCCAAAATGTTAAATCGTGTTGCACTGCTAGTCGCAGGCTCCTCTCCCCACCCCCCAGGTCTCGCAATCGAACTCTGATTTCCTGCCGTTTTTTTAATTTTTAAGCGTCGAACATTGAACGTCACGGAAAACTTGACGCAAGAGATAATCTACTTCTCTGACCCCGGGGGAGGAGGAGGGGGGGTCGGTTTTTACACAGCGTGGAAACGTGCGTTGCCAAATGACACACGCGCAGTGTGCAAGCGGATGATCTTGCCATCCCCACAGACGGGGGCGGTCCGTGTCTTGCCTTTCCCGCCCCCCCCCCCCCTTTGCTCAAGAGTTGATACATTTGTGCTGTTCAGGTTCAGTTGTTGAAGCAGATTGTGGTGCGGTTTGCGATGTTAATTCGGATTGTGCCGCCTCTTCCTGTCCCTGTGATTTGCATCACAAGCGAAGTGCCTCCTGAGCGTTCATATTTAACAAAAAAAGTGTGGCGTTAATTTTGAGTGCACGTTCTATGGTGGGGGGGGGGGGGGTGGGAATCAAGTAGTGTTAGGGAATCAAGTGCTGTATGCCAACTTCGTTATGCACTGTTGCGTCGACTGTCAAAACAACAACACTGAGGTTTCATTCGCATGTTGTGTTCATCCGGTGGTGTATGTTGCGATCCACCCGTTCACGTCGTTCAATATTGTACTGGCCAAATAAAGGCAAACTCAGGTTTTCAATTTGAATTAGTTCTGTGTTTTTTGTTTTTCTGTTGTGTTGTATTTTCGTGTGCGTATTGTCGCGATGGCATTTGGAGGTGCAGACATTGACGGTGTGTGAAGCTGTGAAATATATGCTGGGTTCGAAGCCATGCAGCCGCCAATTAATAAACCAGTGTCTCCAAGTGTCGCGAATTGGTGGTCTGAGCCCAGTCGCCAATGCCTGCACACTAATGAAAAGCACCACCAATTTAAATTGTATTTTGTGCTCGATTTAGCAAAATTTCCACTTTATAATGAAAATCTCAGTTTGACTCGTGACGAAACTTGCTCTGGTGGCAGAGCGGGTGGGAAAGTGCCTTTTTACTGTGCGTACGCAGCGGGCCCTGGAAGGGTTCTCGGAGGTAGCTCTGTAATTTCTACTTCCGTGGGCCGTTCTCTGAACACCGAACGATTGAAATGCTATATATTATTGGTTCTTTCGGTAAAGTCACGTAGAAGGGAAACAATAAAACAATGAATATAAAACAATACAATTCTTACGACGTTTCGACTGCAACACAAGCAATCATCAGGTGTGAAAGCCACACCTGATGATGATTGCTTGTGTTGCAGTCGAAACGTCGTGAGAATTGAATTGATTTATATTTTTATTATTTTATTGTTTCCCTTCTACGTGACTTTACCAAAAGAACCAAGAATATGAATCCCTGCAGTCACGAAAGCTTTCGATCAAGATTGAAATGCTCTTGCGAGAGATGGGGATCGTACCGACACTGATAACAATAGGGATACAATTGGGAGAGTCATTTTTTTAAGGTCGCATTGAAATAATTTACTTAACTAGTAAAGTGCGTGTCACCTGCAATGCAAAGAATAGTATGAGTCTTGAGTGCCCGAGTTAGGTGTTAGCTCTGTCTGGTCCAACGTTAACTGTCGTCAAGAATCTGCATGACTGGTCATGCATAGCTTTAGTTCTCCCGTGTGAAAATGCCTTTCCTAAGTGAACACGCTGCCACCTCCAATACAGAACGCCGACCGTGGGAAGAAAATCTCACAATACCGACAGACGGGGGGGGGAAGTTACAAATGAGTGGTGTGTTAATTAGTCGCCTCGGTGACGAGATGTTATGTCCATCGCCTGGTATGCTGGAGGTTTGCGGGATCGATCTGCTGTATATGTGACGACTGCTGTATATGTGGAGTTTTCCTTGTTCCTCTCTCCCCGTAGTCACGTGGATTTTTTTCCCGAGTCCGGCGGCGTTTCCCTCCACATTTAGAGACAAAATGACGTTTCAAGTGTTTGGCCGCTACACATTTCTACATGCTAGGCCATTGCGCCGAGCTTGTCATTTGTGGCCAGGTCGCGTCAGAAAAAGAGCTACATATCTCCGTGGGCTTTACCTGGTAAATAAAATACCTGGAGATGAGTAGTTTGTATATATTCCGAGGTTTACAATTGCAGAGGAAACCAGAACGGATGGGGCAACAGTCTATCGTCCTATAGTTTCAGATGCCCCTACGTATGTACGTACGTGTGCGGTAGTGTGTATGTATGTGCATGAATTCACAACTCGTTAGGATCACTCGGCCACGGTGTAGATCAAGAAGGCATTGCAGCCGTGCCCGATGTGATGTCCGCCGTGAGTAGATCACACCCAGAAATGTTACTCGTGCCTCGCAGGAACCTTCGTTAATTCCGAGGCCAATAAATTAACTCCGTGACCAAAGTCTGCTCTTGATCGAATTCTTGTCCTTTGTATATACGGTGAAAGCCTCTTGGCCAACGAGTCTGAATGGATCATTGGCAAGATCGTTGCTGGGCAGTGTGCTTACACTGCGCTCCTGACGCAGTGCGTGTGCGCGGTGCTCGCTAACAGCACTTGCCCCAACACCATATTAAGGCCATCGTGATTTCACGTGGCCTCAAAGTGAACAGAGCTTGGCGCAAGCGCCGTGGTGACGTCGCCGCCACTTAGTGGCGAATGGCGGTTGTTGTGGTGGTTGTTGTTTGGTCTGAGGCTGATGAGTCGGGTGTTTGTTGCAGGGCGTGCACAATGACCGCTCCACACGCCCCATACAATCGACTTCCCCCCCCCCCCCCCCAAAGCGAATTGGAGACGTCGGGAGGCGAGGTGGTTCTTGATCGAAACGCTAATTTCTTGAGAACTGCTTTTTTGCGTTTAGTTTTGTTGTCCTAACCCCGACCCCGCACCTCCGATTAGCTCCGTACCGCGGGAAAGAAATTCGCCGTAAATATGAGTGTTGGTCTCTGTGGGTTTCTGTGGGTCTCTGGTTCTATTTGAGTCGCTGGCTCTCAGTGGGTCTCTGGATTTTTTCCTTCTGGTAGTAGGAAGCCACTGGATCTAAGTACGATTAAATCATCAAGATTGGAAACTCATTTCTTTAGAACTGCCGTTTGTAATTTAGTTTGTTGTCTTTCCCCCGTACCTCCGATTAGCGCGGTTGGCTACGTACGGTGCGAAAGAAATTCAACATACAGTTTAGTATGGGTCTCTGTGGGTTGCTGTGGGTCTGTGGTTATATTTTCGTCTCTGAATCTCTGTGAGTCTCTGCGTCTCTTCTGATATTAGGGACCCACTTGAGCTACGTCGTGTTACATAATCAAGATTGAAAACTAATTTCTTTAGAACTGCCGTTTGTATTTACATTGTTGTCCTCACGCACCTACAATCAGCACGGTTGGCAACGTACGATGCGAAATAAATTCGACGTACATATGAGTGTGCGTCTCTGTGGGTTTCTTTGGGTCTCTATGGTTCTATTTCTTATGATATTAAGAAGCCACTGAAGCCATTTACGATTACATCAAGATTGGAAACTCATTCTTTTTTATAACTGCTCATGGTGTTTGTCGTTCTTAGCCCCGCACCTCCGTTTAGCACCGTTGGCTACGTACGGTGCGAAAGAAGTTCAACAAACATACATTGCCTTGTTGAGGCTTGAGAGACACTTGCACTTGATTGTTATTCTGATATATTTTTTTAACGAACAGGAGGAGTGAGCACCGTTTTTTTCTTCACTTAATGAGCTATGAATCAGGGCTATTGCCCCAAACGTCGCCTATTACATAGAGCAATGGTTTGACAAATGTGTCTATTCCTTTTTAATAAAAAAAATAAGTAGCCCTGCAATCACAATTATAAACACTTGCATAATTAATTAAGCTGTCACGTGTAAAATGTTGTGTGCATTGCTCGCAAATTCATCATAATCATGGTTAATTATGATGTACAATGAAGAGGGTTGAGGAGGGGGCGATAGAGGAGGAGAGGAGAGAGATTTAAAAACCGGTTCAAATATCACTCGTCGTGAGCCAGGAATCGAATTGGTGTGGCCGGAATAAAAAATAAAAGTTCCATTATACAGGCAACAAAGTGTTTGGTGACACTGCGGATGTGTTGTGAAGAAATGGGGGCCACAGCCCGAAACGTCGCCCGTTGTAGAAATCGCTACTTGTTCAAGGCCGCAGTGAATTTGACGGATGCGTTAAGTCGTTCATTGTCCACCGTGGAGCCTTGCCACGTGGCTCCGTGCCTGTGGGGACACCCAAGATCCACGCCCGAGCAAGAGCCTCGCGTGGGACGAACAAAGCTTAGAGGCCTTCAAGGTGAGCCGAGAATGCCTCGCTGAGTCTCAAGACATTTATTTTTATTTTCAGGAGGGTCCTGCCAAGTTTTTTTTTCAGTCAGGACCAATGTTGCTTTGTGTAATGTGTGTGTTGAACTTCTTTCGCACCGTACGTATCCAACCGTGCTAATCGGAGGTGTAATCCCAATTGAGTAATTTCATAGCGTTGGGATGTTTGCCCAATACCGTGTTTTTAGTTTGTTTCAGCTATGGGAGGAAACTTACGCAGTACAGAGGGAGAATATACAAACTTTACATACCACACTCACGCACTCACTCACCGCACACACGCCACACTCACCACACTCATCACACTTACTCATCCACTCACCACACTTCCTCACCCACTCAGCACACTCGCCACACTCACTCACTCACCGCACTCACTCAAAAACAAAAGACAAAGATTCCCGCTATAGCCTTAACATACTGTTGGGGCACGTTCTGTTATTTACAGTCAAGAGCATATTAAGAGTATAATCTTTAGCAATCAAACACTGCGTATACAATAACGCAAGTTCGATAGCCTTAACGGACTGTTGGGGCAATGGTCGTTAGCGAGTAGCAGCACCTATGACGTTCAAGACGGCAAAAACCACGCCAGGCTGCCTTTGACGAATGGCTCGTCGTGACAAACTCTGGTTCTTTCGGTAAAGTCACGTAGGTATAAAATAAAATAAATCACGACGTTTCGATTGCAACACAAGCAATCATCATCAGGTGGGAAAACCACAGCAAGGAAAACTTTTTTTGCTGAAGTGGGGGAGAGAGTGACTTGTTACAAGTCGCGGTGGCGATATGAATCGCAAATCGCGTGAAGTGTCACGCGTGAGGCCACAGGAACGAAATGAAAGTAGAATGTGGAAGAGGAGCTTGATGCCACGGTGGCAAGGCGATGTTAACTACCTCGCCGGGTATGCAGGAGGCCGTGGGTTTGATCCCGACCCTGACGCCTGTTGTATATTTGAAGTTTGCGTGTCTCTCTCCCCGTGATCGCGTGGATTTTTCTCCGGGTGCTCCGGTTTTTCCCCGCCACATTTAGAATCAACGTAACGCGTTTAGAGTATTTTGCTGCTATAAATTTCCACGCGATAAGCCACTTCGTTGAGCCATCATTTTGCGACCAGGTCGCTTCTGGAAAAGAGCTTTACAGCTCAGCTGAGCCTTACCTGGTAAAATAAAAACATGTTTAGTTTGGTTTATCCCTACACCGATGATGACTTTGATGCAACGTACTAATTTCTGGGCGGGAATGGAAGCGTCGTGGTTTCTGGTACGCGACAGGCAAAAGACGCCGCACGCACACACACCCACCCACAAACAGAGCTGCAACGTCAAAAAACCCCAACGTGGCCACATTCGACACATCCCTTACA